GGGACAATCAATCCCAGCTGCTCTCCCACTACACGGGTCTGGGCTGGTGACCTAGCCCCTGAGCCAAAGCAGCTTGTGTGCCAGGGGGCAAGTCAACCAGCCAGTGCTCCGGTGGGATTTGGAAATGGAGCCACGTCACTGCATGGCCTTGTCGGCTGTTGCCAGAGCCAGGGGGCCGGTTGTGCACGTACAGGGCTGTTGCGCACGAAACAGGCAGGGAGGGAGGCCGCAGGCCCCCAGGGCTGGTGCACTCGGTGGTGCAACCCGCAGCTCACAAACCGATTCGGACCCTTTTCGTCTGGAGCCGCAGGATCTGTGTGCGTGTGGCAGGCTCGGTTCTGTTAAACGCTGGGGTTCTTGCAGCGGCTTTGCCTGTCGGACTCAGCACTCTCGGGTACTTACTGACGCAGAGTCGCGTCTACACCACTACGACCAAACTCGCTGACGTGATGCCAACAGGCCGCACGGAGCTCAGTCCCCTCAGGCGGGCCCGGCTGGAGACGAGAAACCCAGGCAGCCCTCGCGGGAGATAGTACCAGAGTAAACGTCGCAGATCACTGGGAGCGAGGAGCGGACACACGTTCCAGATCTGAGCCTGTGCCGCGGATCAGCTGGAGCTGGCATGGGTGGGTTCTGCCCTCACTCCTGCAATGACCGGAGCGAGCCGGGCGTTCACTAGGTGACTCGCGCAGGGCGCTGTGTATAGAGCAGCCTGATCCTTTCTAGTCTCTGGATTTCGCTGCTGTCTCTCCCCAGGGCCCTGCCCAGCGGAGCGAACTGGTGCTGTCAGTGAGGAGGCGCTAGCTGTGACCCCCGGGGGGGTGTTCTCATGGGCCAGTCTCTCCATGAGATGCTTTGTCGCGGGGGAGTGAGGCACAGGGTGTTTGATACGATCGAGCGCTGCTCGGCACGGCAGTCTGGCCTGTTCCCTGCCCAGCACAGCGGCTGTGGCCAGCTGGAAAGCCAGGTTGGAAGCGTCCAGCCAGGATGTGAGCTGTGCCTTCTCCTCAGCCAGACAGGAAACAAGTTGTCTCCTCTGCGGCATCTTGCAATAGTGGGAAACTCCAGAGTTTCGGTGCAAAACCTCCTGGCTGGGATGAGCCACCGCGTTTTGTGTGGGGCACGAGGGACCAGGCGCCACTGGCTCCGTTCCAGGCCTCAGCCAGTTGGGGCAGTGACTTCCTCTCTGCCCAGTCTGTGCTTGCCCCACCAGCAGGCCGTGCTCTCTGCAGAGTGTCTCCAGCACATCCCTTCCCCTCGTGCAGGGCTCCGGCCTCGGTTAGTGGCTCGTCGCACTGCCGTGATATAAACCCGTTCGACTCGCTCGCTTGGTCTGTCGCCAGCCCGAGACAGCGACGAAGGAACTCAGCGGCCCGTGGCTCCGTCCCCTGGCTGGGTTATCCCCGCAGCGCTGCGAGACGTCCAGTAGGAACTTCGTACGTGAGGGTCTCCGCGTGCTGCTGCCACTCGTGCCACACGGCTGGGTCTCCAAACACCAGTAGCTATCTCAGTGCGCCTGTCCCAGGGGCAGGGTTGGCTTAATTCTGGGGTGTGGCTTCGTCGGGCTCCGGACCAGCCCACCGGGTCACCCTGGGGGTGACGTGCACCGCAGAGTTACTCATCCCGACGGCTTCGTAAGGCACCACTGAACGTGTCGGCTCCTGTGGCCCAGAACGCACCGGTCGTAAGCAGCCTTCGTTAAGAGCCCGTTCCCCAGCTCGTCGGGCATTGTCCGGGTGGGACGTGTAACCATTTATCTGGGATGTTTCCGTGGCCGGCAGTGTAAAGCTGAGAAAAGCGCAGCGTGCGGGTGGTCTGTGCGTACGGGTCACACCAGGATCGGGTGAGCCTTGAACACTGGTTCCTTGGCAGGTCCGTGCCCCAGCTCAGGGCTAGGCCCTGCAGTGTGTAGCAGAGAGAGTCCTGTCAGCCTGGTCCGTCCAGCCCCCGGAGCGGCAGCCGTGAAGTCGGGGGAAGAATTCTTCCATGGCCTTAGCCGCATTCACACCGGGGCCCCTTGTCCTGGCTCGAGGTGTGAAATTCACGGAGCTGGGGCGGGCTGGTTTGTAGGTGTAGACCAGGCGTCGAACTCTCCGAGATCCTCACTGGAGCGAGTCCCTGTCTAGAGAACCCCCGGCCAGCCGAGAGCCCCGGGGGCCCCACGCAGATCACACTGCAGCTGCAGGCAGGCGGCGCGCTCGGAGCTGTCCACAGGCCCTTGCGGGCAGGCGCCCCGGGCAGCGACAGAGCCTCAAGCCGAGGGGGCTGTTGGCAAATGCTGGGAACAGGTACCGGTTCCGGATCCTGCACCGGCTCGGTCGCCGTTACCCGGTGGCAGCGCCGGAGCATGGGGCAGCGTCAGCCACTGGGTCTGCTTTGCGTCCAGGCCCAAAGCACAGACACCGAAGGGGAAGGGACTCGGGTGTCGGGCTGGCACTGGCAGTGGGGCGGGGCCTGACCCGGCCACTGGTCATTCCCCAGCATCGTGCTCTGGAGAGCAGCCGAGAGGCCTGGCCCATGGGAGGATGTTGACTGCAGGCTGATTAGAGACCCCCCCAGGGACTTCAGAGCCCCCCCATCGCCCCCATCCCCCTCTCCATACCCCCCATGGCTTCCATCCCTCCAGGGACTCCCCCATAGACTCCCCCACCTCCCAGGGACTGCCTCAGAGCCCCCTCATCCCCCCATGGCCTCTATCCCTCCAGGGACTCCCCCACCTCCCAGGGACAGTATTGGAGACCCCCCATCCCCCCTATGGACTGCCCCGGGGACCCCCAACCCTTCAGCCCCCAGGGGGAGCCAGAGGGTGATCCCTCCCCAAACCCCATTAGCCCCCCTCATTCCCCCAGCCCAGGACTCTGCTCTGTCCACAGGGACCTCCTGGGGTCCCCCCAAGCCCCAGCTCCCCCCAACACTAACCTCTCCTCAACTCTCTTCCTTGCAGCCCCGGCGACCACCCTGGGCCCAAGGACTCTGCCCCCCCCGGGCTCAGGCACAGGGCCTCCCCCGGCCACAGCGGCCCCCAGCACCCCGCAGGTCCTGGGCTGGGTGGTGGCGGGGGTTGTGGTTGGGATTTTGCTGACCGGAGCTCTGGGAGCCGTGGTCATCTACCACCTCGTCCTGCGCAGGTCGGACCTGGCCGGAGGGTAAGCGGGGGGGTGGGGGGTAGGATGCCTGGGTTCTCTTTGGCTCTGGAAGGGGAGCAGGGTCTAGTGGTTAGAGTTGGGGGGGGTGAGGCGGGGCTGGGAACCAGGATGCCTGGGTTCTCTCCCTGGCTCTGGGAGGGGAGTGGGGTGTAGTGGGTTAGAGCGGGAGGGAGGAGGGTGGCTGGGAGCCAGGACACCTGGGTTCTTTTCTCCTGGTGAGGTGGGGTGGGGATTCCCTTGGGATTATCATGTCAGCTCCCGGCTCTGTTTAGCTCCACAGGAAAACTGGATCCCAAAGGGAAGAAACCACCAAGATCTGCCAGGGGTGAGTCACAGTCCTGATGTGGGGCTTGGGGGTGGGGCTGAGAGCCCGGACGCCTGGGTTCTATCTCCCATTCTCTTTCCAGATGACACGGAGCCGATTTACGAGGTGATGGAGTCTCCGTTGGAGAGCCCCCAGCCGGATGGGAGAAACCCCGAAACTGACCCCCAACCCCCCCCGGTGAGTGAGGCTGGGTCAGGCACTGCCCCCCTGGGGATCCCATGGGCACTGCCCCCCTTGAACTCCTGGCATGCTGCCTCCCGGTCACTGCCAGGTACCGCCCTCCCCATCCCCCACTCCCCCCGCAGAGCCTGCCCCCCTTCCCCACAAGCTCCTGGGTCAGAGCCTCTCCCTGGGGTCTGTTCCCTGCTGGGGGGCTGGGGGGCAGGGGGGATCCTGGAGGGGGCTGGGGTCAAGGGCAGGTTATAACGACTCTCTCTCCCTCCCCCATGTCTTGCAGGCCATGCCCTTGCCTCCCCAGCCAGACCCCAACTACACGGTGAGTCCCCCAAGTTCAGCTTCCTGGGGGGGGGGTACGAGGGGCTTGGAGGGTCCGTGTGTCCGGGATCCTCCCCCACGTCTCTCTGTCCCTAACGGCCCTTTTCCCCTGGCAGGAGCTGCTGCAGCGAGCCGAGTCCGTGTACGCCCAGATCCAGAGGTGACGCCAGCTGCAGAGTCCACAGGGGGGAACCCCCCAGGGAAGCCCCCCGCCGTGGGGAACCCCCCCAACGAGGAGCCACCCAGGGACACCCCCTTGCCATGGGGAACCCTCTGAGGGTCCCCACAATTGGGATCCCTGACCACAAGGATCCCACCCATGGGGAACCCCCTACCATGGGGAACACGCACAGAAAAACTGGGGTACTCTCCCAGGGACTCCAATGGGCAGCTCCACCCACAAAGCCTGAGCACCCCCCAGTGGGGTACCCCTCAGCAAACCTGGGAACCCTCCACAGCACCCTTGACCCTCCCAAAGGGACCCCCTCCCAGCATCCATGGAAGCCCCTAGAAACACCCCCCTCATTGTCCATGGGGAACCCCCCAGGAGAACTCCCACCCTCAGCCTGCACGCCAGACCTCACACCCTGGGGATCCCCCCATCAGCATCTCCAGGGAACCCCCCCCACCCCCAAACCCAGCCTCCCGGGGCCCATCCAACGCCGGAGCCTGGATCAAACCTCTGGAGGAAGAGCTGAGCTGGAGGCCGGTGTTGGGAGCAGATGAGGGGCACCCCCAGCCCCACTATTAAACCTTGTTCCTCTGCAACAGTCTCCCTTCTACTCTGCTCTGGCTTGGGGGGGCAGGGGGAGATGGGGGGTGGGGTGGAGACTTGGGGGGCTGCCATTACACAGCCCCCCCCCCCCCCCCCCCCCCCCCCGTGCCTGACTCTTCCCCCCCACCCCAGTGCCAGGCTGAGCTCAGCTGCCAAAGACTTTTATTGAGGTTGAGTGGGGGTGGGGAAGGGGTGGAGTCGCTGGTGGCTGGGATGGGAGGGGAAGAGACTGGTCACTCCCCCCCCAATTCTTGCTGGCCTAGTTGGGGGTGAATCCCGGCCCCATTCGGTCAACCTGGAAAAGACGAGACTTCATCAGGGGGAAGGGTCACAACCCCCCCGAATCCCCTACCGAGCCTCCCTGCCCCACGGCGCCCCCTGCTCAGCTCCCTGCAGCCTGGTGCCCCCTACCTAGCCCCCGACCAAGCCTCCCTGCCCCATGGCGCCCCCTGCTCAGCTCCCTGCAGCCTGGTGCCCCCTGCTGAGACCCCTGCCCCGTCCTTGCCTCCACGGCGCCCCCGTTGCTCTTACCAGAGACCTGCAGGCGCCCGAAGGTCTCGGCGTAGCGCCCGCCGGCCTGGAAGACGAGGGTGTAGTCCCCGCTGTCCTGGGGGGTCACCCCTATGATGCGCAGGGAGCAGTCGTTGGCAGGCGTCTCCCGCCCAGTGAAGGCCGGACCCCGGTGCAGCTCCCACGGGGGCACAAAGATCAGGATCCGCTGGGACCGCGCTGTGGTGAGTCCTCGGTACCAGGCGCAGAGCTGGGCAGGTCCCTGCATCCCCTGCACGGCCAGGGTCACGGCCTGCCCCACACGGGGCTGGGGGGGCACCGGCATCAGGGTGACACTGGCCCTGGCCGGCAGGAGGCTGGAGAACAGGACAGAGACTGGGGGCAGGGGGGAGGGTGGAGAGTACATCAGAAGTGGGATGCGCCCAGCTCTGCCGAGCCCCCTCACCCCCGCCCCGAAGCCCCCTGCAAGCCCGGCCCGCCCCCCCCCAGCTCTGCCAGTGCCCCTCAAGCCTGACCCGCAGCCCCCTGCTAGCCCAGCCCTGGCTCCCCCAGCTCTGCCGGTGACCCTCACTCCTGACTCGCAGCCCCCTGCTAGCCCAGCCCTGCCCCCCCCCAGCTCTGCCGGTGCCCCTCACTCCTGACCCATGGCCCCCTGCTAGCCCAGCCCAGCCCTGCCCTGCCCCCCTCCGCCAGCTCTGCCAGTGCCCCTCACTCCTGACCCACAGCCCCTGACAGCCCAGTCCTGCCCCACCCCCCCCCAGCTCTGCCGGTGCCCCTCACTCCCCACCTGCAGCCCCCTGCCAGCCCAAGCCTGGGCTCCCTCCTGCCCTCACCTGCCAGGATTCGGCCCATCCAGGCAGTGCCCCATGGGGGGCAGGGATTGGTGCCGGAGAGCCCCCCCATGGTCCTGTCTGTGTTGTGCGAATGTTGCTGGTGCTGAGTGAGGCACCCAGGCTGGGTGGGACGGGGTCTGGTGGGGGCGGGGGCGGTTGCCTAAGAGGCCTGAGCAGGGAGAGGATGTTGGGTAAGAAACCCACAGAGCAACGGAGTCCTGTCCCCTCCCATCCCTGAATTGCCCCTGTGCCCCCCAAGCTCCCTGGCCTCTCCCCTCAGCACTGGGGGGCAATATCAGGCATATGAATGCACCGTCTGGGCCACAGGGGGCAAGGAGCCAGGCCTCCCCCTGGCTTCCCCCCCTGAAAAAGTGAGAATTTGGTGTAATAGTTTTATGAATCCTGCCTGTGCCCAGGGTGACCAGACAGCAAGTGTGAAAAATCGGGATGGGGGTGGGGGGGTAATAGGAGCCTATATAAGAAAAAGACCCAAAAATCGGGACTGTCCCTATAAAATCGGGACATCTGGTCACTCTACCTGTGCCTCAGTTTCCCTCTGGACTGGAAAAAGGGCTCAGTCCCCTGCTAGAGCCGCACAGGCGGCGGGAGTCTGTGGGGAATGGCCTGGTCCAGGCAGACAGAGTGCCACCCTGAGGACTGGCCCCCCCGGCAGCAGGACGCCCCCGAGAGAGGGGCCGCGTGAGGGGCCAGGGAGCCAGCCATGGACGTGATCACGGCTGGGTTGGCTCATCACAGCGCCGGCCTGGCTGGGCCATGGCTAACGGCTGCCTCTCTGGGCTGTCCCCAGGCCCCGGGCCTGCAGCTGGGGGCTGAGTGGGGCCCTGGGCTCTGCACAGGGGCTGGGGTCACTGCCACTGCCCCAGGGGCCTCGCGCCTGCAGGGTCTGGCTGGGCCGGACTCCGGCAGGGACCCTCAGGGGAAGAGGGGGGGCTGTTGCCGGCGGCCCAGTCCTGGAGGCCACGGGCCTCTGCCCAGCCCTGGGGGTCCCTGGGGCCTGGCCCAGTCAGGGGTCGCGCCCAAGAGGCTGGTTGCAAGCTGGGGCATAGGCCAGACCCTGTGATGACTCCCCACCCGGCCCTTCCCCCTCTGCCCCCCTTCTCCCGCTCCACTCCCTGCCCCCTCTTCTCTCCCCCACCCCAGAGATCCTGTGCCCTTCCCCCCTGCTGCCCCTCACCCTGTCCCCCTCTGGGCGGCCTGCCCCCCTCCCCTGCAGCACTGCCTGCCCCTCTGTGGGTTCCTTATTTAACCCCCTCCCCATATGCTCCCCCCAGGAAATGGGGCACAATGGGGCAGGTCGAAGAAGGGGCGGGGACTGGCAGGTGAGCTGGGGGGGGGGGCAGTGGGCTCCTCCCCCCGCTCCGCACTCACACTGGCGTGGGTGGGGCCGGGACCACTCCGGAGCCAGGACGCAGAATGAGCCCCCTCCCCCCCCCCCCC